CAGAGAAGCTGTGGATGCCCCATCCCTGGAGGGGTTCAAGGCCAGGCTGGATGAGGCTTTGGGCAACCTGGGCTAGTGGGAGGTGTCCCTGCCTGTGGCAGGAGGGGGCACTGGGTGGGCTTTAAGGTCCCTTCACACCCAAACTGTTCTGGGATTCTGTGGCGTATTTACAGACTAATCTCTTTGACATGTTTGCAGAGGCCACGTGACGCAGGATGCTCCGATCCCGGGCTCTCCTCTCTACACCATCAAAGCTTTCATCCCAGCCATCGATTCATTTGGGTTTGAGACAGACCTGAGGACCCACACGCAGGGACAAGCCTTCTCGCTCTCCGTCTTCCACCACTGGCAGGTGAGTCTGTGCCCTGGTGAGATGGGGAAGGGGGACGTGGTGGGATCAGGCACCAGGTAGAGCTTGGTGCCTCAGCTCACACAGGGCAGGACAGCTCCTCTGGAGAACATCCTCAAAGGATCTGGAGCTGGGGAGGTTTTGTACACGAGCTGTTAAGTGTCTGCTGGGAGCCAACGGCTTTGTTCCAAGTCACGTCACCCTTCTCCCCGCTGAATGCTGCCGTTTGCTGAGCAAAGGGTCCGAGAGAAAGGACATCCTCGTCCAGGAGAAGGGAGCAGTTTGGGTGCTCTCGGTGCTCTGCAGCTTGAGGAGCAGAAGCCTTGGAGCAGGGCTTGGGCTTGTTGCTCTGCTGTAAGACATGGGTTGCTACGCTTCACTTTTGCCTCTTGGAAAAGGCTTTTTAACCTGTGGCGAACAGGGTTTGGGACAAAATACTGTCCTCTGCCCCTGCCTGGGGCAAATTGGGTTTTGTGGGATCTGCCATGGTGAGCCTGGGAGGTGCACAGCTGCTTGTGGGAGCAGCAGCAGAGGTCTGAGCTCCTGGAGCTGGCTTAAAGGTCAAGATTTAACAGCCTGAGGCTTAGCTCTGGGAAGAATAAACGTCTGATTGCTAGAGAGGGTGATGCTGACTGTGACCCACGCGGGTGGTTCTGTGAGCAGGTTTTTAGAGGTCTGACAGGGCACCAGCTCGAGGGGAAGGTGGGACGTGATCTTGGCTTGGGTTAGCAACTCTGTATTAGCGACTTCTTGCAGGCGCGATCACCAGCGGTGACAGCACCAGGAGAACAGATGGGGTGCTGGGGCTGTCACACCGAGGCCGGGGGTGTCCACAGGGCCCTGGGGTGTTTCCCATTGCTGTTCAGGGTTTCCAGGAGGTTAAACCACCCCCCAGCATCGCCCTCACATCCTGCCCCTGTGTTTCAGATTGTCCCTGGTGACCCCTTGGACAAGAGCATCGTCATCCGGCCCCTGGAGCCCCAGCCAGCCCCGCACCTGGCCAGAGAGTTCATGATCAAGACCCGGCGCAGGAAGGTACATCAGGGAGTCGTCCCCGTAGCGTCCCTCTGTGCTGAGCAGCTGAGCTGTTGCCATGTTGTCCCTTGGGCATGGTGTCCTTTATGTCTCGGAGCTTCCCTCGCTTTTGGTCCCCCACACTGCCTGTGATGGTCCCAGTGCCTGTGCTGGTCCCACCAGTGACTCAGCTGGCAGCAGCTCCAGCTGAAAGCTGGGTCCTGCGGCTGAGCCCCGCTCCCTCCCCAGCCCTGCTGACCCCTCGGTGGCTCGATTCAGCCCGTTTGTCCTGCAGAAAAAACAGCGACTGGTTTCTGTGCTGGTTTAGGGAGCTGGACTGGGGGGCTGGAGGGGCTCCTGGGACCGCAGAGGGAATCCAGCTCCGTGTGGGAGGGCGGCGAGCTGCTCCCTACGTCTGCAGCTTCCCGAGAGGCTGTTGGATGTCTGCAAGATGCAGAGAAGCACTTCATGCCTTGCAAATTCTCCTGCCTCCTCTGGAGCCTGAAAATTTATCTTTCTGCTGGTCACCAGGGCTTTTTGGTGGGATCTCTGCTGCGCTGGCTGCCCGAGGAATAACCTCTGGTTTTGCGGTTACCCTGCAGGGCTTGAGCGAGGATGTGAGCATCAGCAAGTTCTTCGACGACCCCATGTTGCTGGAGCTGGCCAAGCAGGACGTCGTGCTCAACTACCCCATGTGAACGCGCTGCTGCAGCGTGACCCGAGTCCCGGCCGGCGTCCGTCTGTCCTTCCCCATCCCCTGGCCCCGGGATGCTGGGGGCACACAGGGACTCACTCCTCAGGTCGCTCCTCCATGGCTGTCGCAGTCTCCGTGGGTGTTCGTGGACTGTGTGCTCGGGGTCTGCCCCGTACGGGGAGCAGCCCACAGCGCCGACGCTTTTTGTATTGTTGGTCCTCAGCCGTTGTGGTTGCTGGTGAGGAGGTTTTCCTGCCGGATGGGCTCCCTCCAGGCACACGGGTTAT